TCCTTGTATTAGGAAATAATTGAGAGACCATAATATGGCTAGTGGGACACTATTTGCTATTGGGCTGTCATACTTTTCTCAAAAGGTGTTAATAAGTACTATTATTTGTTTTTTTTTTATTCGTATGTGCACTTTTTAATTTGTTTTTTTATTTTAAAAATAAATTTGTATTCTCTTTTAAATTACAAGCTTCTTAAAGGGCAGGGATTATGTGTATTTAAACTTATTTATATTATGCTCAGTGGTAAAATGATAGCACAAAGTAGCTTCATATTTAGTGATAGCATGCATTTGTAAATGTATGTGAGAGGATAGGATAAGAGAGCTTTTCTATTTCTAGTTGTTATTTTCTTCATAAACTTCATTGTTGATTTTTTTCTAAGTAAGTAAAAGAAATATTGAGGTTCTGGAAGTATTTGTTAGAAAGTACATAAATAGAAGTTGATAAAAATCACCTTTAGATGACTAGAGCTTAGAGTCTCAAAATCATAATAGATAGAGATTCAACTCTTCATTGTAATGGATCTTCCAGAAAATAATTTATATTTGGTTTAAGAACTCTAGTTTCTTTCTTTCTTTTTTTTGTTTTTTGGTGGCCGAACCCTTGACCTTAGTGTTTAACACTGCACTCTAACCGACTGAGCTAACCAGCCAGCCCCTAAGAGTTTGAATTTTTAATCTTTTCATGTAGGTGGGTCTAATGTTTTGGAAATTCATTATATTGCAAAATTACTTTTTTTTTTTTGAAAATGGAAGTCAAGTTTTATTCAGGAAGAGCAGTGACCTGAGTAGAGATGTTAGGTTAAGACATTTGTCTGGTAAAAGTGAAGGAGAATTATCACACAAAAGCCATCTCAAAGACTCAGATTTAGTGAGGGATATTTAAAGAGAGGATTGAGGGAATGGAATGTAGGAAATGAAAAGCAGGTGGGAGGAAGACATGAGCTGTGCTGACCCCCCACCCCATGCAAGAAACCTGGTGCTTGGTTTCGTCAAGTCTCTGTCCAGCCTCCGTTCTCCTCCTCGACACTATCCTAGGGTCCTGCAGGATCTTGATTTGGCTTGGGGTAGGATCAACACAGCTTTGCTGATGTCTTCCTCAGCATTTCAGGGTCTGGATAGTATAAATCTGGTGGCAAATTTGCAGCTCCAGGCTAACTGATAACTTTACATTTATGTAAATAATGTCATCTTGCCCCTTAACCAGGGTTCAAAATAGCAAGTACTTTGGCCAATAGGACATCAGTAAATGTGTTGCAAACATAGGTTTAAAAATTCCTTGCTGCTGGGGCTTGCGTTCTTGGACACAGTCATATTTGGATGAAACCTTGGACTATCCTTCATGGACACAGAATTTAGCCACAGAATCTGAGGAACAGCGTGAGGACAGTGGTAGCGCAGGCACAAAATTACTTTTATTTATACTTAGTATATCTTTACATCAAAAGAAGTCTTAGGATCTTTAAAAGTTTATATGTTGTTTACTTACTTCCAATCGATATATAAATATATACATAAGAGTAAGAAAACATTTTTTGTAAAAAATACTCTGTGCATATCATTTTTCACTAATTCTTAAGTGTGTTCCCTTCATAATATGTTCAATTTAACGAAGTTTGTTGTATTTATAAATCACTAGTTAAGTCAATGAGTGACTAGAAAGTTGTCCAGCCTTTCTGTCCTGTTATAGCTCCCTTACTTCATTCTGTGAATAATTAGCATCATCTCTTGTACTCTGTCAAAGCACCAACTTGAGGAAAACTGAGATTTTTCTGTTTATATATTCCCTTGGATAAGAAGATAATTAATTAAAGGATTATTTAATTAAGGATTATTTAATTATTTAAAATTTTTCTCCTTTACATCCTCTAAAAGCAAGTAAAGATTCTGTTAATACCAAGAAATAATAGAGTAAATGCCATTGTTTGATAACTGAATAATTTTATTTTCAATAGACATACTTGGGAATTAATTTGTCTTGACCCATATAATTGCAGGGAAAAGTTACCTTTTTTTTTAATAGCCCATAAGGAGGAAGTGATTTTGTTTGATTTTGGGGGGACTTTTTTTTAACCCTGAAATATTGGTCCTGGATTTTATTTTTGCCTTGTAGGCTGCAGAGCAGAAGCTGAGAGCTGGTAAGAAGGGTTACTACTACAGGAGAGCAACTATAAATGTTCTGCCTTCCTTGCTTGAAGTCTGCAGCTACTGCTGTAAAGTGTGAATACTCCCTTTCCCCAGAATATGAGAAATATGTAATTTCTGGATTAGACCTCTGGTCTATCCAGTATAGAAGACCTTCTATGAAAGTTACTTCAAAGGGACTTTTTATGGGAGAGCATAGCCTCACTCTGAAAGGTTAGGGATACACCCTTAATCCTCAGTATATCCTTTAACTTTGTGTAAACCTATAAGCTGCTCTTTTGTTTGTTTCAACCTGTGCATTTTTCCCCCTGAGGTAATGTTTGCATTGTCCCATCAAAGGGTGCTAGGAGGTCTCTGAGAACTTTATCTGTTCATTTGTTCATTTTAACATTTTCTTGTTTGGGAGTTTTAACATTATCTGCAGGCTTTGGGATTTGTTTGTTTCTTACTCTGGTTATAGAAAAGTGACATGTAGAGAATAGAATAGTCTGGATTATTTTAAGGAGCAGAGATTCATTTCTTTGCAATGGAATATAGTGTATATATATGTGTCTCTGCATACACATACACACGCAGATTTATATATGCTCTTTATGCACAAAGAAAGATTGGAATCATATGTAACTCAGGAAGCCCTTGAGAGTATTGGAATTAGATGGGTCAGGGAAGGAGAGGATCTTTTATTTTTTCCTTTATACCTTTTGATGTTTAATAAACTTAAAATAATGCAAACATATCTCTTTCATAGAAAAAATAGACTATATGGTTAATTATAAATATCTTCAACATCCACTGTTACTCTTTCTCTTGTCTTTAAATTTCTGTGTGCTTGAAAATAGTGCAGTGTAATGTATCTAAAAGCTCTTTTGTGTCATGAACTTACTTTTGTAAACAGTAATATCTTATTTGTAGGGAGATCAATAGCAGTGTTTGAGTACTAACTATGTGATAGAACAGTGCTACTGAATGTTAGGCTCATTCATACTTTATCTTGCTTTAATATTATATATATCTAATATGTAGGTCATACATAAGGCCTCCCTCCATTTTTTTTTTTTACAAGCTTTTTTAGGAATGTAAATGTTCACAGTAAAAATTTCTAAATCAAGGGCCAGCCCGGTGGTGCACTGGAGAGTGTGCCACTTGGGAGCGCGGCGGCGCTCCCGCCAAGGGTTCGGATCCCATGTGGAGACCAGTTCCCGCTCATTGGCTGAGTGCGGTGCGGGCGCAACACCGAGGGTTGCAATCCTGTTGCTGGTCCCTGGTGCGGGCGCGACACCGAGGGTTGTGATCCCGTTACCGGTCAGTAAAAAAGACAGAAAGGAAAAAAAAAATTTCTAAATCAAGTACAACAGAAGAATAAAGTGAAAAGTAAGTTTTTTTATCTCTCAGCCCCTCACTTTCCTTCTCTAGAGTTAACCACTGTAACTGGTTTCTTGTGTTTTTTTCCAGAAATGTTTTACATGTGTTATAATCATATTTATAGGTCTATTATACATATGTACACATAAACACATATGAAATAATATATATGAAATATATAATCATATATATGATTATATTTGTGTGTGTATATATAAAGTCTCCCTCCCTTACACCCCTCATCAACATATAGAAACTGTATTAGTCCATTTCTGTTGCTTATAAACTGGGTAGTTTATGAGAAAACAAAGTTGATTTCTTACAGTTTGGAAGGCTGGGAAGTCCAAAGTCCAGGGAACACATCTGGCGAGGACCTTATTCTTGGGGGTGACTCTCCACAGCAAGGTATCACATGGTGAATAGTTGAGCAAGAGAGAACTAACCTCACTTGCTCTCCTTTTAAAGCCATTAGAACTACACCTTACCACCTATTAAACCATCAATGGATTAATCCATTCATGGTGGTAACAATTCTCCTAGTCTGATTACCTCTTAAGGGCCCCCCACATAATAGGGGTCTTTCAATTACCATAATAGGATTTCCCCACTCTTAACACGGTTACAATGGGGGTCAAGCCTCAGTAAGTTTTAGGGTGACATTCAATCCATAGTAGAAGCATACTATATATACTGTTTTGCGTCTTGGTGTGACCCCTTAGAATCAGTCAGTAAGACTCATTTTTTGTCCACCTTAAAGTTCTGCAGCAGGAGTGAACCTTCAGGCATACCTATCAGATGTGTCACTACCCAATCCTTGCTAAAAGAATTCAGGGCCTTCCCTTTTTCAGGTGAAGGCCGGACACCTTAAAGTAGCATATAAGACCCTGAAATGACCCGTGCCTGCATCTCCTGCCTCTTCCCTTGAAACTGTTGGGCTTACACTCAGAGTGCTGGTCATCCTGAACTGTTTTCAGTTTCTTAAAGTTTATAGCCTCTCACCTGCAAACTGCTTCCTCTGATAACTCCTGTTTTTTTCTTTTTTCTTTTTTTTTTGTGGGGGAGGTGGGGCATGGCTGGCTGTTATGGGATCCGAACCTGTTACAAGGCTGTGCTCTAACCAACTGAGAACCAGCCAGCCCTTTTTTTTCCTTTAAAAAAATTTTATTTAGTCCTAATATTTATAAAAATCCATAAGTAAAACAAGATTCAGATAAATAAAGCAAAGTATAATTAAGAATTCCACTTTTTCATAAACACTAATGTCCAAAAGTATATATGCTTAAAAAAAAGTGATCCTACTAGCTTGCTTTTTCTCTTTTCCTCAATAAGATTATTACAGGATTTATTTATTTTTAAATTTCTTAAAATCAAATTTTACAAGTAATTTAAATAATCAGTTCTACAAAGTTTGTTATGAAAAAAAGTAGTCCAGGTTCTGGTTCCAGATAAGATGGAGTAAGCACACTTCGCCCTGTCTTTCCCACTGAATGCAGCTGTAAAACCTGGACAGAATGCTTGGAGTGGCTATTTGAGGACTCTGAAAAGTAAATAGTAGGAGGCAGATTGGGAAAGAAGACCAGAATGCAAAGTACCACTGAACTGGCGGTGAGTTTACCATTTTTTTTTTCTTCCAGTATGCCCCAGCCTGAACTTAATGTAGCCTGAAACTTGGAAGTGAGCATTAATACAGACAAAAAAGGGACCAGGAGAAGTCCGACTCAAGGAACAGGAAAGGGGTCCCCTCATGCTCAGAGAAAGTATGGTTATCCCACATCTTTCTCTTTTTTTTTTTCTTCTTTTTTTTCCCTTCATTCTTTTACACTCAGGCCTCAAGCAGTCCTTGGCAATGGCTGCTCTGGCCTCAGTGGGGGCAGGCAGGAGCCTAAAACTCAGAGGGAAGGGACCCTTTCTCCCATTTGGAGGAGCTTTGGGGCAAATCCCCATTGCTTTCCTTCTCCTTCTTGCCTTCTGTTTGGTCCTGATGTGGGTATAGTCATGGGAAGTATATTGCAGAATGGAGTAAATAAAGCTCTAGCTTCCTGCTGGAAGGCTGGAAAAGGGGAGGCCCAGGGAACTGAAAGATTGAAGAAGAGGGAGGAGCTTGGGAAACTGACCGCTTAAAAGTTGCTCGTCAGGCTGGCTGGTTAGCTGAATTGGTTAGAGTACAGCCTTATAACAGTAAGGTCACAGGTTTGGATCCCTGTAATTGCCAGCCTCCAATAAAAAAATAAAATAAAGTTGCTTATTGACTCCTGAGCTGACTTCCAAGCTGTTTGCATGGGTCTGATCCTAAACAGCCTATATAGATTTTGAGAATTGAAATATGAGATAGACCACTGCCCATATCCCAGACTGGACACTGTATGGGGCACTTATGGAATGCACTCAGTAGAACTGCAAAGTCTTTGAAAACTGAACTTACATTAGAAATATAACCCACAGAAGGCTGCTCATAACTTGAAGTATGAACTCATCTGGGTCAAATACTGGCTAAAACAAAAATACCAACATTCTCGGTGGAACTTAAATAAGCCAAAATGTCCAGAACACAATCTAGAATCACTGGGCTTTAAAAAGAACCAGAAAAATCTGGACTGAAAAAAGATAGAAAATAGATGCCAATGCCAGGATTGCACACATCTTAAAATCATATCAAAAAGACTTTAAATCAGCTTTTATGACTATGCTCAAGGAATGAGCAGGAGGACAAAAAGCCTCAGTGAAGAAATAGAAGATATAAAGAAGGACTAAGTGGAGTTTTTAGAACTGAGAAATACAGTAATGGAAATGAAAACTGGATGGGCTCAATAGCAAAATGGACATGACAGATGAAAGTCAGTAAACTTAAAAATAGGTCAATAGACATGATGTAATTTGAACAACAAAGAAAAAAGATTAAAAAAATAGCCTCAGGGACCTATGAGACAATATCAGAAGGTCTAATATTTATATCACCAAAGACTCAGAACAAGAAGAGAATGAGTTTGATGCAGCAGAAATATGTGAAGAAATAATGCCTACAGATTGAAAAGGAGGAAATAAAACTGTTCCTATTTGCAGATGACATGATTGTCTATGTAGAAAATCCCAAGGAATTCACCAGAAAATTCCTAGAATAAATGAGTTTTGCAGGTGATACAAGCTCAGACCACAAAAAGCAATCATATTTCTATATATTAGCAATGAAAAATTGAACCTAAGAAATACTTAGTTATAACAAAATATATACAGGCTCTTTATGCTGAAAACTATAAAAATCCTCTTTAAAGAAATCAAAGAAGATTTAAATAAGTGGAGAGCCTTAGCATATTCGTGTATGGAAGATTTACTATGGTAAAGATGTTGATTATCCTGAAATTGATCTATAGATTTAATGCAGTAATAATAAAAATCTCAGCAGCATTTTTTGTAGTTATTGAGAAGCTGATTCTAAAATTTCTGTAGAGAGGCTGGTTAGTTAGCTCAGTTGGTTAGAGTGTGATACTAATAACACCAAGGTCCAGGGTCTGATTCCTGTACTGGCCAGTGTCCAAGGGGAGAAAAAAAATAAGTAAATAAAAATTCTGTAGAAAGGCAAAGGGCATAGAATAACCAAAATAATTTTGAAAACAAAAAATAATGTTGGAAAAAAATCAAACCACGTAGAGTAGATTTTAAGTGTTCTCACCACAAAAAAGTATGTGAGGTAATGCATGTTATTAGCTTGACTGAGCCATTCTACAGTTTATACATATTTCAAAACATTGTGTTTACACAATAAATGTGTACAATTTTTGTCAATTAAAAAAAATATAAGCCCCCCCCAAATTCAAACTATATGATTTAAAAAACTTAGTATAGGGCTGGCCCATTAGCTCAGTTGGTTAGAATGTGGTGCTTGTAACACCAAGGTCAGGGTTTGATCCCTGTACTGACCGGCTGCCAAAAAAATAAAAACCTTAGTACAGGGCCGGCCCCGTGGCGCACTCGGTAGAGTGCGGCGCTTGGGAGTGTGGTGGCGCTCCCGCCGAGGGTTCGGATCCCATATAGAGACTGGTCCGCTCACTGGTTGAGCGCGGTGCGGG